TACTTCATAGCTTACAAAGTGCTTTCCACCACATTATCTCATTATGTCCGTTGCAGGCTTGAGAGAAATAATCTACAAATGGCATTTTAAAATAAATGTGCTGCACATTAGGGCAGGTACATTACACAGCTGGGGACATGATATTCCAGATCCGATGATAGTGAAAAACGACTGTGAAGAAGGCTGCATATAAACATATACTGTGTCCTAAGGCACGCACATAAACTCTGCTTTAGCAGGGAAAAGGCAGTTGAGACTCGTTGTCGTTGGGGTCTCACTTTTAAACTTTCCAGGATAAAAGTTGAAATGTTTCAACAAGAGTCTTATGAACACCTTTGCTCTCTGTCTGGATCTGCCAGTTTGACCACTTGGCTTTCATTCTTTCAAGGGGCTTTGGGTCATCTATATGCCCAGCTCAAGTCAAGCACCGACAGTGTGGCTCATGCACAATGGGCACACCACGTGGCTGCCAGTCTCTTTAGCTGGACAGCCAATGGGTTCAGCTGGTCAGATAAGAAGATGAAAGTGAGTTGGCAAAGACTTTGTTTAGACATTGTAAAATGACCTGGCTGTGATGACCTTCATCTTTATATGCCCACAAACTCTAATTATATCTATCAAATATTATCGATAGAGATTATGAATTATGTCTAATTTATAATTATACCTAAATAAAGGTGAAGATTCTATTTATAAAATTATTCAATACTTTTATTTATAATAACTTTAATAACCTTGAAACATAGAGTGAAAGGGAAGCAAATGGATGTCCTGCATGAATATTTTATCAGTTAAGATGCTTTTTGCTATAAGAATGAAATATTCAATAGAACCTAAAAATAAGAGTGTATTATTTACATAACACAAATCTGGAAATAAGTGCTTCCAAAATTTGTTAATTCAGCAGCACAGTTGATGTCTGGATTCTGGGTCAATTCCTCTGTGATTCTTTTGATTTTCATTTCATGGTCACAAAATGGCTGCCACAGCTCTAAGCATCATGTCCTCATAGAACTGAATTTAAACAGGAATGAGAATGTTTCCTTTATGCTGCTGCTATTTTTTTTCTTTATCATGGATAAAAATCATTCGAAGTCTCTAGTAAGTGCCTTTCAGGCCCTTTTGACAGAAGTGGGTCATATGCCCACTTGCACACCAATCAGTGGTAGAGAAAAGGAGATTAGCATGACTGGCTCAGCTAATATTGTTTCATCTTTCAGGGCTGGAGTGAGGTCCAAATTTTCTTGAGCACATTGCTTCCTCAAATCTGAACAAAATACATGTTATTAGTAAGGAAAGAGGGAAATGGCTTTTGGAGAGGCAAGCAAAAATATGTCTGATGCACTTATTTTCTATAGCTTCTTTAGAGGTTCTTTGGTTGCCTATTAACTGAAATGGAGACACATTCAGGGGTTGGAATCAAAGTCTGAAATTGAAAACATTAACTCTTTCTGAATTCTACAGAAGTATGAAACTATTTCATGGGACAAGTTGTGTTTCTTGCTCATTTGGGTTCCTTATGAAATGGAAAATTTCCTGTCTAGAGCTCAGCCCCATGTGGTGGCATGTGTCCCCACCATACTGCTGCATGCCTGGGGCCTTTAGAAGGGTAGAAGGAGAAATAGCATGAGGGCTAAAGTTACTGAAAGAGCTTTTTGGAGGAAATTTTCAGAGAAATTCGGAGACTGAGGGGGAGCAGAGTTGTGGGAGGGAAGTAGATATGAGGGGAAGGAGGATTAAACAAGCGTTACTGTGGGCAGGTACCTATCCTCTTTATGTATTAAAAAAAACACGGCTAAGAATGTGGGTTAATCTAGAATTGATATCTGTTTGCAAACCTATATCTCTTTCCAACATTGCTCTGAGAATTGTGTCTTCAGTAGGGCACATTCTCATCATTGATCTCAAGGGCTAGGAGTAGTATTCTCTCCATCAACCCCATTCCCAGCTGAAAAGCCAGTACAGACCTGTGGGAAGGTCCTATGGAAAGGAATCTCCATGCCCAACCTCATCTCAAGTTCCAAGATGGCTGCTCAAGCTTTGGCCAATACATCCACATTCCAGCATGCAGGAAGGAAGAAGAGGGAAGAAGGAGAGGAGGCCAAGGACAGAGCTGGCTAGTTTCTTAAGGATGATCCTTAGTAGCTGCCTCATGATACATCTGTTTACATCACATTAATCAGAATTTAGACATGTGGTCCACCTAGCTATGTAGGAGGCTGGAGATGTAGTCTTTATTTTCAGTGGCCATATACTTAGCTAAAGATTCTATTACTTTGGAAGAAAGGAAGACTGGACATTGGGGGAACAAATAAAAGGAGCCTCTTCCAGACCCATCGCCCTCCCTATGAATGGGAAATGTGCTAGCACTTTCATGACTCTACTTTTGTTCATGTTATTTATTTAGCGTGGAATGTCCTTTATTCCCCCTTGCATCTCACATGTCTCCCTAACTCCTTTCTTGTCTACTGCGATTTTTCAAAGCTTAATTCAATGTCACTTCCTCGAAGGAGTCTCCTTAGATTCTACCAATTCGAATTAAATTCTTCTGTGCTGCCCAGCCCTTTTCTCCTACTTTCATTATAGCAAAGTGTTCTTTCTGTTTCACACTATCAGCAATTGTTTATTTTTTCCTTTAGATTGTAATTTTCCTGAGGGCTGGGTCCTGGATTTAATCATCTGCAAATCCATACAGTGCCTACATGAAAGAGAAGTAAACTCATATCTTGTTTAAGTCAATGTAATTTTGCACTTTTTATCACTCACAGCCAAGGATGATCCTAACTAGTATAAGCTCCTTCCCCCTTCCCTTTACAGAGTTGGACACCACTCTATTTTTGAGCTGATGATTATGCAGATACCACCTAAAAAGGTCTGGAACATTAGCAGATTGTTATTGAATAGACGAAGATTGGGAAATATTCTTAAACTGGTGCTATGTTGTTTTCTCAATTTTCAGTGTTAGAGGGGTTAGCAGGGTGTAGAGGAAGGAGGTGGGCTTTGTAATCTGACATATTAGATTTAAAATCTTGGTTGAGTGACTTATAGGTATGTGACCTCAGGTAAAGAAATTATTCTCCCTAAGCAAGAGTTTCTAGATCTGTAAAATGGAAATGAAAGTGTTTATTTTGCAGGATTGTTTTGAGAATTAGATAAGATGTCTACAAAGAGCCTGGCACTTAGAGGATGTGCATTCCTGGGCATTATCATAATCATCATACTGCAGATTTGGAATGATTAAGGGAAAAGCTCTATGTTGCCCTATCCCAGAGCCACAAAGCTGATTACACATGGGTCAGGGCTTCTTGGAAGGAAATTTGCCACAGAAGGCAAGGAATGTTATTACCGGTAACAGAAATTGAGAGCATATCATTTATACCCTCGTAATTGAGATGAACTTTGGCACATTGACATGGGCAATATCCTCCAACACCCATTTAAAAAGTCTCCAGATGAAAAACTTAGACACATAGTACAAGCACTCATCGATGCTCTTACTAGTCATAGAAACAGGTAGGGTAATAGTAAAAATGATGGAGGTGGCAATTCCACTGAAATGTGGGCCGAAGCATACCTATTAAATTGGATCCATAGTTAAAACAGCTGGGGTTTTTCATAGTTCTCCAAGGAGGAGCAGTTAAACCCCAGATTTTGTCTTTATTGACAGCAATATAGAAGTTATGCACATCACAGCCAAAAAGCCATCAGTGACACAGCTGTCAGAACTTCAAGGTCAGAATAAAAGAGTAGATGCTATAGATGCTAAAATTTTTATAATTTTAAGGGAAATTGGAGAAGTTTACGTGAAGTCTTCGTTAAAAAATGACTTGTGGACTTTCCAGAGCACAGGTGTAACTTCTTTTGACTTTGTACCATGTAACTTCTCCATGAAGTTCTCGTCATACTTTGAGGTTAATACCTAACATGTATTTAGCACTTTTCAGTTTATTAAATGCTTTGACATACCTTAACTCATTTAATTATTGTATTCATTTTCCAATGCTGCATAACAAATTATTACAAACTTAAATGTTTAAAACAGCATACATTTATTCTCTCCCATATTCATTTACTCTGTGCGTCAGAAGTGTGGGCACAACTTAGCTGGGTCCTCTGTTTAGGATCTCACAAGGCTGTAATTAAGGTGTCAACTAAGCTGCATTCCCATGTGGAGGATCGACTGGGAAAGAATCTGCTTTCAAGTTCACCCAGGTTATTGGCAGAATTAATTCCTGTGGTTGTTGGACTGAGAGCCATGGTTTCTTTCTGGGCCCTCAGCTACTGGACACTCAGCTCCTGGAAGCCGCCATCAGTCCCTGGAGGCTGCCCACAGATCCTTGGCACATGGGCTTTCTCAAGTTGCCCATTGACTTCATCAAGCTGGCAAAGAGAGTTTCTAGATAGAGTCTACACACAAGATGGAGCCTTACATAATATTATCACAGAGTGCCTCCTCTAACTTTCACAATGTTCTGTTGGTTAGAGGTAAGTCACATGTTCTGCCCACACTCAAGGGGAGGGGATTAAACAAAGGCATGGACACCAGGAAGAGGAGGGGATCATAGTGGGCCACCTGGAGTCTCTCAGCCACAATTATCAATACAGTCCTTTGAGAGGGCCAGGTAGATGTTTTTACTTCTGTCATACAAATGAAGACACTGATGTTCAATTAGAGAGGTTAAATGAACTGATACTCAAGGCTACACAGTTAATAGGAGGTAAAATTAAACCCAGGATCCCTAAGTCCTAGTTCTATGCTCCAACTATCAGTATCTAGCCATCTTATGTATCTTTGTATCTACCCATCCATCCATTCACTCATCCAACCATCCTGGTCTAGTGTTCTTTGCACTACATCACCATCCTTATTGTATAAATTTCAGTGACAGTCGACGAACTCATCTCTTTGAATCCAGAAGAATTACCTCCTTGTCACCATATTAGATAGGTTAGGTTAGATTCTCTTGTGGTGACAAATAACTCCAAGATCTCAATGGCTTAAAACAACAAAGGTTTATTTCTTGCTCATATCATACGTCCATTGCAGGTCAGCTGAGTGCTTTGCTGCACATTTTCTTACTTGAGGACTCAGGCTGATGTGACAGTCACCATCTTGAATGTCGCCAATCCCCATTCCAGAGGGAAAAGAGAGCACTGGTGAGTTTTGCAACGGCAATCAAGTGCTCTGACCTGGAAGGGAAACATGGCATTTGCTTAAAATTCACGGCTCAGAATGAGTCAAATGGCTCTACCCAACCGTAAGGGAGTCAGAAAGTCCAATTCAACACTATTTCCAGGAGTGGGGAGAACCAGAAATAATGGCATATGATTGGTGAAATAATTACTACTACAGCCATGAAACTAGCCTACCACAAAGTGAGCCCCTGTTACCTTTGCATTGTCCATGACCTTAGTCCAAAATCTCTCCCCTGACCTGTCTAATGCTCTGTTTCTAGACCATTCCCTGGCTGCCTCAGCTTTTGACTCTTGACTTATTTATATCTTGAGAGCTGTATCTCTCCTAAACCCTAATGTTTGCAACTGCTTCTCTAGGTCTGGTTTCCACTTTTCTTCTTGATCACAATTTTTACTTTGTATTCTTAAAGATACTGTTTTCAGCCATTCTGGGTAAATAATTCACCAAATCTTGCTGCCCTCCTGGCACCGGACCTTATAAGCTAACACCTCTGTGAAGTTAAGTCATCGATAATCCCATGACGAATGCCACGTGGGGAGAAGAATATGGTTATATCCTTAAATGTTCCCCTGAGTTCTTGTCTTCAGAGATACTGTAGGCATTGATCTAAATTCAATTAGAAAGTGTCATAAAAAAAGGAAACAACAATGGAAAAAATGGATCAAAGGATTAGACATGACTGAACCCAGTAGGAAAGCAGAGCTGGCCATTCTCCAGGTGAATAATTATCTGAAGAAACATGAACAACAACAACACAACCGATCAGTTGCACTCCCATTTTGGCTCAATTTGAGAGATGCAACAAGTGAGCTAAAATATTAATGCCACAGTAAACTATCTGAGAGGACTGTTGCATTCGTACAACATTCTCAGTGGGTGCCTGCACTGCTGGAACAAGGTACTAAAGAATAAAGAAGCAGCTGGACTAAATAGATGTTCACAGCAGAAGAAACATTTTTCATCCTACAGCCATGTTCTATTTCATCATGTTAAGCGTTTCTGTCAACTCATAGACTAAATTGCTCTCAACCTTGTTGTGCATAAATTTCATTCCACTACAGCGTGCTAAAGAAACTTCCTTGAGAACAAGGAAAATGGTGGATTAGGAGAAGTGAATTCTGGGAAATGTCTCCTTTATTAAGGTAAAGCCCACAACCTCTATGAGTTAGCCCCAAATAGAGTATTTGCTGGTCAGGAGGTGACTGGATCGAGTAATGCTCCTTCTGCCTCTGAGAGGCTCCCATTTTGGTTCTTGTGGCCATAGGCAGAGCGGGCAGCCCTTGAGTCTCTGCAGTAAGTCTGGGTCAGCTTTTAGGCTCCAATTCATCCCTAAGCAAAAGCCCCTACCCTTAGTTTCCCCCAGCACAGCCCAGGTAGTCTGGAACTTAATAAAAGCTCTAAAAGAGCAAAGAGATACACAAATCTTTAGAAGCTATCTTATAAGGAGAGATTTCTGATCTTTTCCATAGCTTGTTCCTTGCTAGGGCTTGTCAGCCCTGTCACCTTGCACTCTCCATCTAGCACTCTTCATCTCAGTTTCCCCAAAAGCAGACCCTGAAACATGGCTCTGAATTTGATTTGATTTGGGAGGTTATCCCAAGAAGCAGAATGAGGGAGACGTGAGGCAGGCAAGGGAGGGAAGCCAAGAGAGTTAAGGAGTGGGTTGCCACAGCGGGCAACTGGGGTTTAATCCCATGGGGACCATCTGAGACAGTGTAGAGCACATCTCAGAATTGTCCTACTGAAGGGAGAGGAAGATGGGATATTTATCCCCTAGCTCCCGTCCTTCAATGTTGAGAGTTGATCCTGGGCATGTTAACTCTTCAGCATTTCCAGCCTGCCCTGCATGTGTTCTGCACACACACACAGAGGAAACCTTCAGGCAGAGAGATGGAGGTGCTTGATGCCGGGGGCCATCAGGAGAGTGAACTCACCACCGAAGCTGCAGGTGACCACCAGGGTGGGCCTAGGGACAAACAGCATCAGCTTCAAGGAGCCCTAACGGGTTAGCACAGCTTCACAGGCTGCTTGTCAAGGTTGTTCACTGCTCTGCTCCTGGTCTCTCTCCTAGCCATCTTCTCTCTCTCACAAGAACTGGATTCTTCTAGCTGTAGTTCTCAATGAATTGTGTATACACACACACACACACACACACTCTTTCTCGCGCACACATTCACTCTGTAGAAGTGGTTTATATGACATCGAAATTTTAATTTCTCATAATTTCCCATTTCTTCTGCTGCTGGAAAATGTCTTCGATATGGCTTAGTGATGAAATTTACTCCTGCAAAAACCGCTATCATTGTTTACTTTCTTAAAAATTCACTGTGAATGAAATTATGATAAAATGCCTATAACAGAGAAGCTTTTTGCTTGTAATGTGGTTGCAAATTTTCTCACACTACAGGCATGTGTGTGAAGTAAACAAGTAATTGATCTGAGAACTGGGGAAGCCAATGGTGTAAGTCCCAGGTGGAGTCCAAAAGCCCAAGAAGTGGGGAGGCTGATGTTTGAAGAATCAGTCCGAGTCTGAAGGTCTGAGAACAAGGAGCACCAGTGTCCAAGGGCAGGAGAAGATGGACGTCCCAGCTCAAGCCGAGACCAAATTCGCCCTTCCTCTACCTTTGTGTTCTATTCAGGCCCTCAACGGACTGGATGTTGCCCACTTGCATTGGTGAGGGTGATCTTTTTTACTCAGTCCACTGATTCAAATCTTAATCTTCTCCAGAAACACACTCACAGATACCCAGAAATAATGATGTTCTCCCAGCTATCCAGGCATCCCTTAGTCCAGTTAAGTTGACATAAAGTTAACCATCACACTCACCAAGGAAGTTACTCCACTGTCAGGGCAGGGGTAGCAATTGCTGTCTTATTCTCCAACACACTGTACTGGGTATATTGGGGGCAGCTAACTTGACTTTTAGTTTGGAGGTTTCCAGACCATGAGGAGCTGCATTTAGATCTGACTGAGAAGACTACGCAGCACTCAGAGATCCTAGAGTTTGAGCTGGATGATAACTTGGTAAGATTTTGTGGTTATCCCCTTTGGGGTGCTCAGGGGCTCATGAATATCTGGATGGTCAAGGGCAGACAGATGGATATTGCTAGTTTCCTCTCATTGTTATGGTGCCTGTATAATTGATGGTCTAAGCAGGGACACTTTTGAGAGTGAAAGAGGGTTCTCAAAACGATTAACATTATGTAATTATAATTCATCCAAAATAAAAAAGATCATTACCCAACAATAAAACCAATAGTTGTAGATTTAACCCAAACATTAAATGACAAAATCACTACAGCAAGAGAGTTCAGACCATTCCCTGCACACCCCACACTGAGACTGCTCAGCCTGGTCTTTCCTTCATGTGCATCCTCCCTGACATTTCCCGCTGGCTCCACTCACTGGTGGCCTAGAGGCTTTGTATATCTCACAGCCTGTGGTACAGGTCACAACACAACTGGCTGATCCACGAAGTGGCCCTCAGGGTCAGCAGCATCGAATGCTTGCTCACCATCCCCCAAGACCAGGAGGAGTTGGCTGTTGGGGCTGCTGTTGTCTGAACACACTTTGTTTTATCAACGAGTTGCTTGCATCTAGGCCCTAACAGGGAGGCGTTAGCTCTGTTGCACCTGGAAAGGATGCAGAAAAGAGAAATGGGCTACTGCTAGTTGTCTTCTGAATTTCACCATGTGTTTACGTGGGACTTCACAAGCATCTCACATACTACCAGACAGGTCCATGGCACAGGAGTGAAAGTGGAACTCTACCAAACCCTTCCCAGCTTACTTTAAAACAATATTTGACATACTTAAATTTTATAAAAAATGAAAAATACAGGACAAGTGTTAAACTGTTAAACACAGGGGTAATGAGCAATGGACTACATCTAGGCCAGTCCCAGGCCAACCAGGATGTACAGTGAGACCACCCCACGTCCACTCTCCTCTCACTCGTTAGTAATAGACTCTGTACCTTTTAGCTGAACACATGGTCACCCAGGAAGAATTCTTTCTAGTGGGGTGGCAGCAGAGCCATCTAGTTTCCAGGCTCAGAGTGGCAGTGGCAACAGTGGTGACCTCAAGGGTCCAGTGCAGGGCTATCAGCTGCAGCATCCAGACTTGGCTATATGGCATGATTTTAGCTTTGGTGCTGGTGTCCTTCCTGTTTTCTGAAGCTTATTCTCTGGCTTTCTTGGTAATTCAGTTAGCTTTCTAATATTATTTCAATAAACGTTCTCCTCAAATCAATCTCCTTATTTCTGTCTGTTCAAATAAGAGCATTGACTGCTTTAGGGAGCAGACCTTGCATGACATTTTCTGGTGGGTAACAAAGTTTCCCTAACATTCCCTAAGTCCACTATGTGGACATTTGCTGTTTTGGTCACTTTAGCATCTACATTTCCTTGCCATGTAACCCAGGCCTATCCAATCTCTCATGGCACTCCATTCTCTGGCCACGGAGGTGTGCCTAGGATAAGCATGCGTCTAAGCCAGGCCAACCAAAGTCTTTCCAAGGAATTAGGAATCTCACCCATGAAACTGGGAGAGATGAATGCATGCTCTCTCTCTCTTCTTGGACCAGGAGATGCATGGGGTCTAGACTGTTGGCAGCAAGGTCTCTGCTGGATTGATAAAGACTGTCTGTGGAGTGGACTTTTGATGGAGAGAGAGAGAGAGGGAGGGAAGGAAAAGGAAGAGAGTCGGTTTTTTTTTTGAGGAAGATTAGCCCTGAGCTAACTACTGCCAGTCCTCCTCGTTTTTTGCTGAGGAAGCCTGGCCCTGAGCTAACATCCCTGCCCATCTTCCTCTACTTTATATGTGGGATGCCCGCCACAGCATGGCGTGACAAGCAGTGCCATGTTCGCACCCGGGATCGAACCAGCGAACCCCGGGCTGCCGAGAAGCAGAACGTGAGAACTTAACCGCTGCGCCACCGGGTTGGCCCCAGGAAAGGAGTCTTGACAATCTCATTTGAATCCCTGGGCCCAGC